TAGTTGATCATAAGGGTGTAATATTTAAGCATGAAGGAGAAATAGGCAAAATTCTTGGAGCTAAGCGAGAGAGACATTGTTATAGGCTGGTAATACCAGCGTGCGTATGCGTGGGGATACCAACACTACTGGATGCAGACAGTCAGCAAAGTTGAGCCCGATTGTTTGCAGGCTGGTTTGCATTTGTCTGCGTTGTTAGCGACACCTCCTTTTGACATGTTTTCATACATGTATGTCCACATTGCAGTTTGCATCTTGATTGCATTGCCCTTGGCGTTTCTTACATCGGTAAGGAAACCAGGCTCAACGTGTACCTTGTACATGTACTTGCAGATTACTAGGCTGTGCATTCTCAAACACTGTTTGAGCAACATTTGTTCCTCTAACAAACAGCAGCATACTGGTAGTACCATATCATTATCAGACCAGCAAGAAGGAATTACTAGCATTCCATATATGTAGATTCTAGTTAGAAAACTTTGACTGCAGCTTTTGATTAATTGGAGTTCTGTTTGTTTTTCCTTTTTTTGTTGCGTTTTTCTTCTTCTATTTTTCTTTCTTTTTTTTTAATGCATGTCCTACAAAGGTGACTAACATTTCAGAGCATTTGTCAGAAGAAATCAAAACCACATAATAAAATTATCACTTCATCGTTTGTGGGAAGATTGATGAGGCAGCCATACCTTTCAGAAATTAGTTCAGTCAAGATGTACTCATTCAATGAGTTGTGGCATCTACAGATTACAGTGAATAGAGATAACATGCAATCAATTTGAAGAGACTTGTTTATATCACATCATCCATAGATGCACCCATGTTTTTCAGAGTATGAAGTGACTCCCCTAAAATAAGGAATTTCCGTTCTTCAAAAAAAGCACATGATTTGACAGAGAAGTAACAATCTGCTCATCCAGTCAAGACTGGGTAACATGCTGACCTTGATCTAAATGTATGTGTATGTACCTGTGGCAAAGAATGTTTCAACAAGTTGACCTTGGCTTCCCACCTCATGAAATTAATGATAGTTGTGGTTCTTCAAGCATCTTAACCACTCAGTGCCAGGGAGCTTGGTACCGGAGATGTTGGCTGTGCATGTACATTTACATGCACGGCCAGGGTGCCCATAATCTGATCAAAGGAACTGGGCCTTGAAACAAAAGACCGAACTTAGAACAAAAGACCAAACTCAGAACAAAAGACCAAACTCAGAACAAAAGACCAAACTCAGAACAAAAGACCAAACTCAGAACAAAAGACCGAACTCAGAACAAAAGACCAAACTCAGAACAAAAGACCGAACTCAGAACAAAAGACCGAACTCAGAACAAAAGACCGAACTCAGAACAAAAGACCGAACTGCTGGGAATTGCCAATTAATTTTCATAGGCTGTCAGCACAGAGTGCTGGCATTAGCAGAGGTATATATGTAATTGTCACAATGTGAGAAGTTTATAAATCATGTTTATATTACATTAAAATCACAAGTTGGGAAATGTGTAAAAACCGTGTTTATATAAATATTGGTAGAAAGAAAATTATTGAGCTAAGAGTTACTTTCAGATTTGAGTTTGTCCCCACACACCCACTGCAGAGTGTAGATGGCTATTCAAAACCAAATTTGTCAGAGAATACATAGTGGCAAGGAATGTTATGCAAATTAATCATGCTTGAGTAACTTTAGTCCAAGGCACTCCCCTGTGTATGTGCTGTTAGGGACTACTAATACAGCCTTAGTGCTGTATGGAAGGGTAGTCCACCTGTGTGGTGAGGTACATGTCCTGCATGTACTGTACATAGGGCATGGCCCCGAAGAAAAGCCAGTTTGGAAATCAAACTGGTTTTCCCTGAGGGGAACTTAAAACCTTGCTGGTTCTGAGTGAACCATTGTTCGGAGTGAACCACCTTCATTCTGAGGGAATCATTTGTTCTGAGTAAACAACCATCATTCCGAAGAGATCATTATATTTGTTCTGAGTGAACAAACATCTTTATGAATGAACGAGCTCCAGTATAGCTCCACAGTTCTTAGTGAACTAGCCACCCCACCCAGCTCGAGGTGAAACAGTACAGAGAGGTTGAAGGCCGACCATCAGGCCAGCAGGGAGAACCATCCTTTGACCTTCCTGGAAGATCAGCCCAGGCGCTGATGTTCATCTGTGCACCCACCTGGAGACAGCTTTAACCAGGGAGCTGGCAGACATCTTGTAGATAACTGCACGGAACACGGGCGTGGGCATTTTTCCACCCATGCAAACTGTTGACTGTTGTGAAGGTGGCCTGGTGGGGCTTGAATAATTAACTAATTAGTTGTTAAGATTTATTTATTTGTTTTATTTATTTTCACGAAACGGCCGTAGGGGGGATATAATTAGGTTTTTACACATTTTACTAATTTGATTAGAAACTGGATTTGGGTACAAGTGTTTTTTTTTTTTGGTAGAATAAATGTTCCTTGTCTAATGAAAAAAAAAACGGTTGATCGATTTTGAAGTACGATTGTTTGACCTCCAAAAACTTGTGTACCTACTACCATACTGGTTAGTTATAATTTGGTCAACTGAGGGGAAAGTCGGACCCCTGGTGTGACAGTAATCTGTCACTGTTTTGGAACAGTATACCATAGTTTGCGGCATTCAGCGCCTGCGGATTATCTGCGGGAACAAAAGTACTCCAGTGATGAGCAATACAATACTACTGCATGCTGATCTGGCCACATTTGTAAAGATACTACCGCCATTCAGCAACCACTGGGCCAATTTTGGGAACAAAGGAAATTACACAACACTGCACAATGTGGCTTCTCTTTACTGGGTGGAAGGCCTGGCTGCAATAGTCGGGCATGATTGGAGGTTGCCTGTCAGACTAGAGTAGCCACCAGACAGTCATTCGTGTGGGTGTAAGCGTCCAGTAAATGAACATATGAATTTTTGAAGAATTTTGAAAACGGAAAAATTAAAAAAAAATCATCCGGCAACGCGTCCCGCATGCGCAAAATCCACCCAGCAGAAAGTGATCAAGTATATCACTGTAAAGGTCTATTGAAACTGTGAAAGACAGGGCATTGAAACATCAAGAAATTTAAAAAAAAATTCACTTTGCTCTTGGCCATGAGAATTCAAAACTTCCTCTGTAGTAATCTTGAGGTGTTTGCTTGGCCTAAGAGTTTGAATTGCATGTACAGGAGCAGGATGTGCTGAGGTCATCTTTAAAATAAAAAAGGTTTAGACTAGATAACCTTCCACAACTTTCTCAAGACTCAAATCTAGTTGTGCAAGAGGCAAATTGGAATTTAGATATAATCAAAAGGAAAGAAGATGAACAAATCTTTCTGTATCAGAAGGCACTAATCTATAGACGCTTTCTGGGAAATGTTTTTTCATGACGGATCTGAGAGTTAAATTGAAGGGTGTCATTGACTCCTCCCACACACTGATACATGTACATGAAAGTTGTGATGATTGTGTGCAGCCCTGCTAGAGCTCTTGGCTTCAGTGAGATTCCAAGCATTGATAGAACTAGGATATCCATCGGAAATGAGTATGGAACCAATACTGGTAAAAAAGATCCTAAATATTGCCGAGAGGGGGATTTACACTGAGAGAGGGGGAAGAGGGGAGACCTGTTGGTCTTCCCAATCAGAGACTGAACTTTCTATGCCCCGCTCAGTAATCCCAAGCTATGATATACCCACATGATATGACAAATTACTTCTGACTCATGCTAGCACCTTGTCTCTTCGACTGTTAATATATGTAAAGTAATGCAGAAGCAGCGTAATTAAACCATCCCTGTGACTTTCAGGGTGCTCTGCCAAGTTAATCCAGTTGGACTTTCAGCAGGACTCAATCTATTAGCCTTACTTCCCCTGGGTAGGTTTGGCACGCAAATGTTTGTGTAGTATGCCACTGCTCTGAAGAATACCCTGGCATGCTGAACAGGAACAGAGAAGATTATCCATGCAGCTCCCTGATATAAATTAGCTTCATCAAAAGGCATTTCCTAAATTGTAGTTCTTTCTTTGATACATGTATCTCACTAATTCTGCTGGACTGCTGAAAAAAGTGGCACTTCATTATTATTTTTTTTAATGAAAAAAAAATGACTTGACACAAGGAAAGAGACATGAGGAAAAGAAACGTGGCCACTGATCCTCCAGTGATCACAGTAAAGAAACAGCCATGAATTAATTGCTGTGGCAGAAAGTGGCTGCATTTTCAATCCAATAAAGTGTACAGTTGTAAGCGAATACTTGTACACTGCAAATGTTGCCATTAACCTCTTTTAAATAGTATAATTTTGGCCCAAAATATTGCCTTTCAAAAAGGCAGGATACAGCAGCCAACTCCTGATTTGGGGTGCATCCACCAACCAGTATCAGCTATGGCTCAAGGCCAAGCACCGAGGACAAGTTCCAGTACAAGACACGGTCTACCTGCACTGATTTCTTAGACTTTGTGTGTGTATACAAAACAAATGTGTGTTAAACATCAGTCAGACGTGAGTCAGGGTCCTGGGTGCTTAGAGTCCTTGTGAGCTGAACCTCAATGCGTTCGGGCAACAGCAAGTGATGGCGTACATACATGTACATGTACAGTACACTATCACATTAATGATGCTTTGCTTTGGAGGGAAACCAAGTAATGATAGGTAAGAAGATAAAGAATACCCTTACCAGCCTATTGTTATGAAGGTTGTATAATCTTGCATTCCTTAGCTCAACAGAATAATTAACTTAATGAGCTTAAGGATTCAAACTCACAAACAAAATGTACCATCCCACCAGTCTTCCCACTGATGAAGCCAATCTATTTTCCTTGTATGGGATTTGCATATAAATGTCCTTGATTCCACTTTCAATTAGAATTCTGTATATCAGTATATTCCAAGTAAATTCTATTACGAGCAAAGTCACTTGTTTCAACTTCAGTAAGCGAATTTCCTTCTAGAACTGGAGTTTAAACTAAACCATGCAAAACAAATCCTTCTGAAAATATACTTACTGATTTTCAGTTCCATGGATTTCTCCAACCTATCCACCCTCTCACTGAGTTTGCCCAGCATTGAGCGTAGAAATCCAATCTCTTGGTCTTTCTGGACGATGGTTGCTTGCAGCTCTCGCATCTTCTCTGAGGATGTCTGGAGGTAGTCCTTGATTCCTTCGTAGCTACAGACTTCCCGATGTTCTGATACTTCTTCTTGGGTACCCACAAAGGGGCAGCCAAACTTGTGGTGGTCACACTTACAGAGATTGCAGTTCTGTAGGTGGGCTGCAAGGTTCTGCAGAAAGCAACAAATCAAGCAACAAACTTGACAGGATTCACGATTATGGAATGACTTTCTGTCTGTCTTGGATGGTATAATGGCCTGTAAGATATTCACTTAAATGTAAAGTCTATTTTCTACAGTCGCTTAAAATTTCTTGCATACCAGTGAACATTTGTCATAATGACCACTCAGGGTCCATTCCAGTCCACATGTTCATGTATAATGTATTCCATACTAACTGTCATAAGCACATGAAGAGTAGACTACAGCATACATGTACATATTACAAGGTCCCAATTTTACTGAGCTGTTTAAGGGTTCACAGAGAAGTTGTGATAACTACCCTGACTGTAAAGCAAAGATACGTGTAAGTGCTGGTTGCAAGCACATTTCATGGCTAGGATCTTCTGTAATGGAGTACAGCAGGGAAGGGAACAAATAATTACTTTATCTTGGCTAACTGCACCACCACAGATTGATAAGAGACAACCACCTTGTATGCATCTACATGTAGGAAGTTTTAAGATAACTTGTTGAGTATTATATGTGATCCTGATCATTAGCCTTTCCCACTGCACATGTAGCTGCATGGGAAAGACACGATCAAGTCAAATACTGGAGAAAATTCTACACATACCTCTCCATGCGTCCCAAAACCTGCTTCTGAATTTAACTTTCAATTCTTTGGTGGGCATATGTGTCTGAACAAGGGGAGGGGCAAATTGAGTACCATGACTGCATGCCAAGGCCTCCATTGAAAAGATTTCTATTGTGTTCCTGAAACCTCATGTGTTGTCTTATCATTGTTGGTAGTCAGAAATGGGACAAAAGGCTATGCTTTGTCTATGCCCATCAGTTGACTAAACTGGCACATGTTTATAGATTTCCTGAGCAGTCACACTCCTGTCATGATGTGTGTCTTATGTTATTAACCACTACCTGCCGGGCGACCGGTTTTTGGGTACATAGGCTTTATATGCAGAGCAGGGGAGCCCAGGCAAAAGAGCTGGGCCTTATAACAAAAGACCGTGCTCAGCACAAAAGGCTGAGCGGCTGGGCATTACCGACATTTTTTCACTCTCAATAGTGGAGATAATCCAGCCTTGTTTTGAAACAGTATACCATGGTTTAAGGCATTTAGAGCGAGCGGATTACCACCGCGGACAAAAGCTCTCCACCACCACAGCAATGAGCCACACAGCACCGCTGCTAATCTCAGCAGGTCAGCAGTGCACTGTGCCGGTTTCGGGCTCTTTTTCCAAGGCTGCAGGCCTGGCTGAAATATTCAGGAGTCAATGAATTTTACCGGTCAGCTTTAAAGTAGTGCCCAAAGAGTCCTTCATTTTGGTATAAACAGCCAATAAATGAAATGATTAATTTTTGAAGAATTTTGAAAACAGAAGATCTTGAAAATGACCTGGCATCTTGTCTTGCTCAAGAAAAATCCACCTGGCAGCAAGTGGTTAATTGGCAAATCTGTGTACACATGTACCAGTACGTGCGTGTAACTTGATCTCATAAAATGTGTCTTTAAGATCAACAATCTGTACATGAATATTAAAATACCTATCAAGAATAACTTACCATTTTCAGGATCTTGGGGCAGTCTGGGTTATTGGGGCATTGGACTGGTGCATAGCTACATTCCATCTCATGTTCTCTGCGGTGAACAATCAACCAATAGGAAAGAATAAGCAAGGTCAGCATCATTTACATGCATGAATTTTCAGCGGACAATCCATCCAACATGGAGTAACTTCGGAGTAAAGATACCGTAAACTTCTACACATCCTGAAATGAAAACAGAAGTTGTGAAGTTGCTCCAGAAGAAATATTCTGCCCAGTCCTAGCCAATGATGAAAAGCTTCTTTAATTCTGTCAACATAATGCTACTACAAGTGAAGTACCGGTAAGACTTGTAAATGGGTGTTGGACAACAAAAGTGAACAAGCACCCAACATGAAGCATGTCTGACCTTGTTAAGAAGAAAACAACAAATGCCAGCTTATTTCACTGCTCACTAAGAGTAAACGGGCCCAGCCCACTGCAGCAAATTCAAGGGAAAATTAAATATCTGTTAACTATAGGGATCCGTGAGTCAATGCTGAGCAGGTAAATTGTAACAATGACAATAATTCATTGAAACCCTCTTTACAGAGGAGATCAACAGGAAACTACATCCATAAATCGTGTTTAAATCTGCTAATTTATACGTGTCCTGTTGCCTCCCTGTTGACTCATACCATCATGGGGTGGAACGTCATTAACAGACTAATTAATGCAACTGGTTTTATTACCTGAGGCATTAGAAAGGAAATCAGGATTATGACCAACAATGACAATCATGGCCTTGTGTAATGTTCGTCCCTTTCTTTCATGAAAATGACATCTCAGAGTCCTGGCATTATCTGCAGGGACCCAAACTAGTCTATCCAAAAATTATCTTGACTACAGTAGACAGTAACTGACTGATACTACATTAAATCCTCTGAAATCATCCACTTCCCAATCAAGCCAGAGCTACATTACTGAGATGGATTGTAACATGGACATCATTTGTTTATTACATGTACTTGTGACCAGATTCGTAATTTGTTATGTTTGTAATGAATCTGTGATGGACTTGCATGACAGACTCAACTGAAATAGTGCCAAGACTTCAGCCAACTGAACCCTGATCTCAGTAGAGGTTTGCTTAGACAGGAAAAGTGATGATATTAATTAATGAAAGACAAGGGTTTCAATCTTTCTGGAATTTCCTACATTTTACTGACTCAGAGGCTGCTGTGCACCTGATAATCTTCCTTGTAACAGGTGTACACATAAAAGCTACTTTTCACTGGGTGGAAGGCATAAAATCCTCCAGTGTCAAGAGAACAGTCAGAATTCATCGAGGAATGAAGTATTTGTATGTAATGTACATGTATGTGTACCTGCACAAATGTACACCAGTCTGTGCATAGAACTGTAGAAATGGCTCATGGTCACTTTTGTTTATGTGCACACAATGTACATGTATGAATGAGTACACTGTGAGAACCGTACCACAATGCTAACATGACATGAACATGTACAATGTACATGTACACACAGTTGCCAGTAGGAAGGAGACTTCTAAAAAAAAAACGGTACACAAAGCCATGATAATTACCACAGCTTTGAACCAGGAAAATACGCGGATAAACAACTCTACCTGTACCTCTACTTCATTCTCTGCCAGTGACATGAAAATTAACCCCTAATATTAACTGCTCAATACCCCACTGCATTCAGAACTGTCCCAATTACATGTGCCCCAAAGGGCAATCTTACAATAAATCAGGTCTGTGGCTTAGTTTCATTATATTAAATGACCTCATTGACACAAGTGTTTCACTCGACACCATTAGAAGGAGTTGAACTGGATCTCCTTATATTATTGCTTGGAGTGATATCTTTGAAGCATGACAAACCATCACACCCCCATCACTACCTGATAATAGACTTCCTCTAGATAAGCCTAACCTGTGGCCTAGGACAACACCGTAACACCATCACTGTCAGTTTGAAGCTTTTTATCATAACTGTGCCCAGGCCTCCCAAGGGCCCAAGGCAGTAATTTAAAGATGATCCTCTCACGTATGTCTGCATTATCTTCAAGTTACTGCAACTGTCATCAATCCATTCCTGCAGGGTGCTGAGGATGCTGTGAAGATCATCCTTAATTAACAATTAGTACTCTGCTGTCAAAGGAATAAGACAAGAGCTGGATTAAAGGTAACCATTGGGGACGAATGAACAGCCTAAAAGCTGATTTACATGAACTGTACGGGTAGTATACTAGCCAACAGCATTGCATTCTTGGTCATTTTTACAGGTAACAGCACATACAGTAAGAATCCTCCTCAGTGACAAAATTCCTCACTGTGCAGTAAACCCATGGCACATTACTTGAAAACTCAAGGCAACAGATGGACTAAAATACCATGAGAATGGTAAACCTGACGAGGTAAATGTTAAGGGGAAGATGAAAAGATGGGGAGATAGTACCACAAACTGTACAGGCATGGTAGCATGTACAAGAATGGTTTAGTAAGCAGGAGTTAAGCAGAGCGCTTTGTTCAACAGTTGGACAACTCTAGCCAGATGAGGTGAAATTAAAAACTCAGGTTTTTAGGTCTCTGGAAGAGAAAATAATGCTTTACAGAATAAAGCAATTTTTTCTGGTTTTTGTCCTCGAAAACACAATTTTAATACAAGGTGATAGTTGTATTGTGCGTGTACATGTAGTCTTGGTTCAAGTAGTGAAGTAAACAGGTCTGACAGCTATCTTGATTACTCATGTCACAATGACCTTGGAAAGTTCTAAAGAACAATACAGTGTACATGCGATTGCAATCAAAGAGAGAAACAAGCAACAAGGTGAGAATTGCATTTCAGGTGTTGCAGTCACCATGTTGCCACAGACAGAGACCACCATGCAAGCCACATGACAAGTCACAATCAGTTTTGCAAACATGACACCCACTATACTGGTTTCAACACAAATCATCACAGCACAGCTGCAACTGATATGACCACAAGGTGCAAATAAGACAAGTTCAGACAACGACTTAAACCGTCAGCTTTCACCTTCCCAGGAGTTGACGTGGAAAAGGGTGTGGCTGAAAAGTCACCGCGCTAAAGCAAAGGATGCAAATTTGACGCATTATGACTCTTGATTAGAAGTGCAGTCAACTTTTGTTCTCAGAAACCTTATTCCGATGGTAACACTTGGAGAGGAACACTTCAACATGAGTGATGCCATTCATACTCAGTGTTTGGTCATAAACTTAACTTGAATGATTCTGAACAACATAAAAAAGGATGAGTTAGTGACCATTGAGGAATCAACCTGTTGAAAAACGGTTTTCCTATTTGAGAGATTCTAGGTAAAAAAATTAGGTGTACAATTGAAAAGGAAAGCCGGCAGAATTTTCCAGACAAACAACTTTGCCTTTGAGAGAGATTCCGCTGGACACTACACCTACAATCGCCACCCCCAAGAAGGCAACACAGATTTTTGAAACCAGATGTGTGACTACATGTGCATGCACAAGCTTACATCCTTAATGCCCTACAAAGAAGCAATTGCCAACTTTGTATTCTTATAGAAGTTCGTGTATACATTGTTATGTACAGGTCCCTCATGGGATACTCTTATCACATCATGAATTTCTGTGGTATTGTAGTTCAGCTTGTCTGTTTGTACTCACTAAAATTTAGGGTGGAGTTTACTTGTTTAATATACAGGTAGGCAGTTACATACACGTACATGTATACTAGTACCTGCAGTGCATTTTTGCAAGTTTAATGTAAACAAACACACATGCAGAAGTGATACCTGCCAATGCAGGTGTATGAATGTACGGTATGTGGATAAAAAAGCATGTGACACGTCCATGTATGAAGATGACCAAAGTACAAAGTTTGGCAATCTAATTTTGACATTTTCTCCCATTTGTCATGTTCTTCAATGCAAACATCCACTCACAAGTGTACTGTGACCTCTAATATCAAATCTTTCCCTACTCAAGTTTTCCCAGACTTCAGGGACCAAGACTTGAAAGCACCTGTCAATTTTCGCAAACTCCCTCCACTCCTTGAAGAGCTGAGTTTATATTGAGGCTCCTTACAGAGGAAAGACCAAATCAACTGCTAACCAACCATAACCTCCACCACTGCAAACTCCTGTCCACTTTTCAACATGTCTAGACAACTGACCAATAGGACGGTTCAAATTCAAGGTACAAAAACATATGACCTCCAGCCTGAGAAATGCTGTCATCTCCTCCAAAAGAAGTTAAACCTGCAAAGATTCTCCAACTCCCAAATCTCTGAAGTCCACCTCCTGCCGGGGCAATCCTTTCCCCTTGGAGGGTGGAAGGCCCTCCCAACAGACTTCCGTACGGGGGCTCAGGTACACTTTGCACTCAGCAGAGCCATTAGTGACTTCCACGCTGACATACTGAGGTCACTTTACTCTCCTCAGATGAATTTTGTTTCCTGTTGGGCTAAATTTCATAGAACTCTTAAGCACAGTACATGTATGTATTTACAAAGCAAAACAGCAGATAAGACAATAGGAATGTACATCACATGACATTTATGGATGGTAACTTGTTTCTGACAAGTTTAGCACCTAATGTTCTGTACCAAGCAGTGATGGATACTTAGGATACATGTACATGGACTATGCTTAGCAACTTCAGATCAACGCCAAATGCCATGTGATGTAATAATCAAAATGATCGGTAGCTGGCTTTGTCTTTGTGACAAAAATGCTGAGCACTATTTCAGCTCAGTAAGCAACTTTATGAAATTGGTCCTGGCAGTGTTAAAACCTTGAAAACTCAGAGCTAAGCTTGGTCTAAAATTGTGGGCACACTTGAGCTGAGCCTTAACTCCAGCTAACAGAAGACCTAGTAAACAATGACCGCAGTCATTTTCCAACTTGTGTTTTCACACATCTGTTAATTTATTCTTCCTCAGCAGTATCTGCCAATCTACTGCAACTTTCCATGAATTTGAGTGGCACAAACAACTTGTGAGACATGCTGCAATGACTCACTTCTTCAAAAGTGGCACATGACATTTACTGTTGAAACATGACTGGATCCCGTTCCTGTAAAACAAACAAACACCCTCATTGGTCAACAAATATTAACACTTACCTGCGTTCATTGACCCGTAATGTGCAAGGGCACCCATCTGGATCAACCACATATTCATCCTGTATCCCTGTCCCTGAAGGTTTACAGCCGTAGCGACAGTGAATGTACAGTTCTCCAATCTGCTCACTGACTGCGATGTTGTTGACTACGACCGCTAACTTCATGTCATCCACAGGGCAGGTTTCTGAAAGACCATTACATACAAGACAAGTAATTATGGACTCTATGTCTCCATTGTAGTCTCAAAGACAAAATACCAAATGTGACCAGCTCTAGAGAAATGGGTAATAAGTCGCCAGATTCAGGTTATGAGTTTTGATATGGCTGTATTTTGTACATCAAACGCTACAATTTGATATATAAATGACCCCTGTAGTGCGCTGCGTTCCGGCGATATATAGACATTTGTATATCCACATTTTCGGATTCAATAAAAGCCCTTTTTGAGAAAAAGCTCATGTAGTGTAGCGCTTCAGAACACAATGCTACATGTATGTAGGATTTCCTACTGAATGGTCAATTTTTCATCTTCATTCATCAGTATCCATGTTTGTAGTCACAAATTCTGAAAATATAAATATTAAAGAAAGTATTAAAGGAAAAAACACAAAATCACGTTTTTGAACAAATTTTTTCTTCTCCAAATAGAACTGGCCATTACGCGTTTTGGCAGTGTGTGACTAATAACCCTTTAAATTGCAGAGCGTGAACCAGTGTGGTACATTGTATGTTTACATGAACCAGTGTGGTACATTGCATGTGTACATAAACCAGTGTGGTACATTTGGACATTGTGTGTGCACATGAACCAGTGTGGTACATTGCGTGTGTACATGAACCAGTGTGGTACATTGCATGTGTACATAAACCAGTGTGGTACATTTTGTACATTGTGTGTGCACATGAACCAGTGTGGTACATTGTGTGTGCACATGAACCAGTGTGGTACATTGCATGTGCACATGAACTAGTGTGGTACATTGTGTGTGCACATGAACCAGTGTGGTACATTGTGTGTGCACATGAACCAGTGTGGTACATTGTGTGTGCACATGAACCAG